TGCTCGCCACTCGCCACCGGAGGTTTTCTTCTTGTTTGCCAGTCGCCCATGGACTACCCCAGTTATGCCATGACCATGTACCTCCTGATGACCCTAGGCTTCCTGCTGCTCTACGTTTCCATGTGTCGTTCACAGATGGGACGGACAACGATCTCCGATTTAGAATGAACCCACAGGCGTGTAATTTCTCATCTAAACGGGATTAATTGAGATTCTCATATAAGATTGATTCAATCAGTATTATCCTCCTTTCTACGAGCAAGATTACTTCTTTCGACGAACCAAAACATTAAAGTAAGTAAAGATATAATTGAGGAAGAAATATAAAAGATGAGGGATTGTTTGATTATTTCTGAATTGAATAGATAAAGAGTTACTGCGATCTGATGAACCGGTGATTCCTGCGAACGTCTCTCAACAAGAAGAGATTACGTGGGTCAAAATTGGCAGCGGCATCTTGAATGCGCCCCAACCCACACGAATCGCTTAAAGTCGTAACACAAGTCGCGACGCAGTAAATGTCTTTCTTTGGACGTCCACCGGCGTGCATGTGATAGTTGTGACGCGATGGAATCTTCGTTTGTCCCTTTCAAGCCTCTCTCAGCATTCATGTCTTGATTTTGTCCCTTGTTCCGCAGGAACTGTCTATCATGATGAGTTCACTAATACCAAAAGGCAAAATAGACAAGAAAAAAAAAGGTCAATAGATCATCCATCCCGATTTAATGCAGTTTGGGTTCGATCCTTCATAATCCCAAACGGGATTAGCTTTTCATCTTCGTGTGGAATAATGACAGGCTGTGACGGTGACCCGAGTTCGACTTGCCATAAACTGGGCGATTCGTGGGAAAGGTGGAGGATCCAAAGTCATACCGTGTTGTTCTTTATCGTCGTATTTATTTGTTTCTTTTCTGTTGCTATCTTCTTCGTGTGAAGATTATTATCATTTGCCATTGTTTTGACGGTTGATAGAAAAATATTATTATCATTTTTCTATCGCTCTTTGTTGCGCCTATGATAGGCTTCATTTGTTAGGATTCTGCATATAGATTCTATCCTTTGCGATCTTATGTAGCTTTAAGACACACGTGACTTTTGCCTATTATATTTTGAAAACAAATCTTATGCTATTTTTACGAGCCAGAAAAATAATTTTTTTAAGAAATAAATTGTTCATCATCGTTTCATCATAATGATGCTCAAATAATGGGGTACTTAGTACTTTTGAGTTTACTAATTTTAAGATTTGTTTAGACTGTATTAAATGAAAGCAAACAAATAAATCTAAAAAGGATGTTAATAGGATTAGAAATCATTCATACTAATATATGTTGTCCAGATATGGACACATATGGTCAGAAATACTTCATCTCCTTTATAGATGATTACTCACGATAAATATATATATATATATATATATATATATATATATATATATATATATATATACTTCGTAACAAAAAAGAAGCATCGGATGTCTTCAAAGTCTTTAATGTTGAAATTGAGAACCAATATGGTAAGCAAATTAAAATTGTAAGATCAGATAAATGTGGAGAATATTATGGTAGATATACTAAAAATGGATAAGCACCTAGTCCTTTTGCTAAGTTTCTTCAAGAACATGAGATTCTTGCCCAATACACTATGCCTGGTTCTCCAGACCAGAATGATGTTGCAGAAAGAAGAAACCGAACATTATTAGACATGGTGCGGAGTATGCTTAACAATCTCAATCTTCCTAAATTCTTGTGGACTAAAGCACTAAAGACAACTGTGTATATATTAAACCGAGTTCCAATCAAGACTATCCAAAAGACGTCATTTGAATTATGGAAAAGATTGGAAACCGAGATTATAATATATGCATGTTTGGGGATGTCCGTCTGAGGTCAGGATATATAATCCACAAACAAAGAAACTGGACCCGAGGACTATTAGTGGGTATTTCATTGCATATGCCGAAAAGTCTAAAGGTTACAGGTTCTATTGTTCATCTTATATAACTAGGATTGTGGAATCAAGAAATGCTAAATTTCTTGAAAATGACATGATTAGTGAGAGCGATCATTTCAGGAACATAGTTTCTACATATGATCATATAGAATCTCAACCTTTCACATCAAATGATATATTTGTTATAGTTTATAACACTCCTCAAGTACAAACTGGTGCTGAATAACCAATCATTAAAATTTCACAAGTTGTTGATAATATTCTAATAGATCAAGTAGTTCAGGAATTACAATAAATTCTTGAACAACAAGTTTCTCAGGGAAACATTGATACAACATTAAGAAGAACTACAAAAAATAAAAGATCAGTAATTTTTAGTGATTATGTTGTATATCTATAAGAATCTAACTATAATATTGGAGCCCAAAATGATCCTGAAACCTTTTCACAAGCCATGAGTTGCAAAGAGTCAAATTGTCGTATAATGCCATGAAAGAAGAGATGAATTCCATGAAGAGCAATAGAGTTTGAGATCTTATAGAGTTGCCTAATGAAGCAAAGGCTATTAGCTATAAATTAATTTTTAAAACTAAGAAAGATTCATTAAGCAACATTGAGAGATAAAAGACAAGACTTGTTGCAAAAAGATTTACTCAAAAGGAGGGAATCGATTATACGAAGATGTTTTCTCATGTATCTAAGAAAGATTCTCTTCGTATCATTTTGGCATTGGTTGTTCATTTTGACCTTGAGTTACAACAAATGGATGTGAAAACGATATTTCTTAATGGAGATCTAGAGGAAGAGGTTTATATGAAACAACATGAAGGTTTCTCCTCTAGTATTGGTGAGCATTTGGTTTGTAAGCTTAAGAAGTCTATATATGATTTAAAACAAGCCTCCCGCCAATGATATTTTAAATTGTATGAAGTGATTTCTTCATTCGGATTTGTTGAAAATCCCGTAAATCAATGTATATACAAGAAGGTCAATGAAAGTAAAATATGTTTCCTTGTTTTATACATAGATGATATTTTGCTTGCAATTAACGATAAGAGTTTGTTGCATAAGGTAAAATAATTCATTTCTAAAAATTTTGACATGAAGGATACGGATGAAGCACCTTTTGTTATTGGTATTAAGATCCATAGAGATAGACCTCGAGGCATTTTAGGTCTATCACAAGAAACCTATATCGATAAACTTTTAGAAAGATTTCGGATAAAGGATTGTTCACCAAGTGTTGCTCCCATTGTGAAAGGTGATAGATTCAATTTGAACCAATGCCCAATAATTAACCTTGAAAGGGAATAAATGAAAAACATCCCATATGCTTCTGCTGTGGGAAGCCTTATGTATGCTCAGGTCTATACTAGACCTGATATTGCATTTGTTGTGAGGATGTTAGGTCGATATCAAAGTAATCTAGATATGGACCACTAGAGAGCTGCAAAGAAAGTGATGAGGTATCTACAAGGAACCAAAGATTACATGCTTATGTATAGACATACAAACAATCTGGATGTGAATGGTTACTCAAATTTAGACTTCACAAGTTGTGTTGATTCTCATAAATCAATATCAGGATATATTTTTATGATGACTAGTGGAGCTATTTCTTAGAAAAATACTAAGTAGATCTTGATTGCTACTTCTACCATAGAAGTTGAGTTTGTCTCCTGTTTTGAGTCTACTTCATATGATGTATGGCTTAAAAGTTTCATTTATGGGTTTAGAATCATGGATTCTATTTCTAGGCCATCAAGAATCTTCTGCGATAATTCAGCTGCTATCTTTATGACTAAAAATAATAAAAGTCGAAGTAAATACATCGACATTAAGTATTTAGCTATAAGAAAACGTGTAAAAGAAAAAAAAAGTGGTCATTGAGCATATTAGCACTGAATTGATGATTGCTGATCCTTTGACTAAAGACATACCACATTTAAAATTCAAGGATCATATAGAAAAAAATGAGACTTGGTTCCATTTTGTAATGATATTGAAACTCTTATATATTATGATATTTTCTCATTCATGTGCACGTTATTTTAAGAAAATATATTGTTACTGGACCAAGAATAAATATAAGATTTATTCATTAAGTAATATTACCAAATTAAGATTAAGAAACTAAATAAATCGTAATACATAGATGATAATACTTGCTCTTAGAGGACTTATCACTATGATTCATATATTTATTTCTTAAGAAAATTGTTCAATAAAGATTAATTCAAATTCTTAAGCCAACCGTATGGACCAAATGGGAGAATGTAACCGTTCTCGTTAAGATTCATAATTCATTAACATGAATTTTTATTTATTTATTATGGTTTAAATAAATTTAATTTTTTATTCATTATAAATAAAACTGTTATTATTAAATAATTTATTTAATATCATTAAAATTTTTCATTATGGTCCAAACGTTATAAATTTGAATTAATTCTTGAATGTTATGAGTTGGTGATAATAAATGTTCTTGATGTGAGAACATATATATAAATGAAGATTTTGGTCCCTGAGCTCAATATATTTTTGAAATCTAAATGATTTCCTATACCATCTAAAGTAAGAGTTTTGAGCTGAGACGTGCTGAAGTTTAAGAAGAAATCGTTATTAAAATTCTTAACAATAATGACTGAAAGTACGATATTTCGTTTCCACATTTGTTTTCTTATGTTTCTGTTACAATGATTTAGAAATATATCTAAATTTTGAGCTGCTGCAAATGCTGTGAATGGCACGAGTGTTGAGCTTTTCGATATCACTGCTTTATACCAAATGAGGGATGAGGGGCATATCTCCCAGTATTAAAGGCACACAAGGTGTTCAGGATTGCTTGCATTGGTGCCTGCCAGGTATTCCTGATACATGGAATGAGATCCTAGCCGCTCAGCTCTAAGCTATCATCTGAGTGCAAAAATTAAAAATGTGTAGCCATTCTTTCTAATGTTTTGTAAGGCTATGTTTAAGGAAATCAATTGGACCTCTCTGAGGTAGATAATGGCATATGAGAAAGAGAAAGAGAGAGAGAGAGAGAGATGTGTCATTTAGTATGGAGATGATTTTGTTGCCAATGTAACATTCTTTGTTTTCTTTGTTACACATTAAATGACTAAGTTTTCTGTAGAGATGTGCAAAAGGAATCATAATGCCCGGAGAAATGTCAGCATACTGTAAGCATTCTGTGACTACGACAGATACGTGTGACCTTTTACATGATGACAACGTTTTTGTTGCACTCGTCCATCATAAAGTATTGGAAGGACCACTGTGCTCTCGTGTGTTCGTCACCGAAACGTCAACTCCCAATATTCTCCATGACAGTTTAGTCACCAAATGAGAAACCAAGTGGGAGCTTTTTCTCGGGTGCTCTCATCCAAAAGTCTGTCACTCGAAGTCAAGGTCAGAAGAGACATCACAAAGTTATCGATGGTTCCCTTGAATCCTACTTGTCCTTCGACTTCGTGATCTATATGATAAGATCAAGATGTCAAATTATCTTTTACATGAGAACAATTCTTGGATCACTGATATCTCTGTGTCATTAGTCATCACTAACACAACTTGTCCTGCCATTTGACCCAACAAAAGTTTTGGCTTTATTGCTCCAAAGGAACCAGAAATCAATGGTGATGATGCAAGCATTTATTGATCTTTCCCTTCCATTTGACCCAAGAAAGTTTTGGCTTTATTGCTCCAAAGGAACCAGAAATCAATGGTGATGATGCAAGCATTTATTGATCTTTCCCTTCCATTTGACCCAAGAAAGTTTTGGCTTTATTGATCCAAAGGAACCAGAAATCAATAGTGATGATGCAAGCATTTATTGATCCTTCCATTTGAGCAAGCAAAGTTTCGACTTTGTTCCGAATGAACCAGAAAGCAAGCATTTATTGATTTACAGGCAACCCATTTACCTCTATTTAAAGAAACCTGTTGGTGTTCTTTCCGCATGCACCTTTCACAGGTGATCTTCCGTTTTCGATCGTCTCTACCACTCGTGATCATATTTATTCATCATGGCAAACGTTTCAGCTGTGCAACTTCTCCAGGCCG